CAACGCCTTAGTGAAACTAATTTCCAAAAAAGTTAATCACAGTAGCTAACATTAGGTGATCACATAATTGTAATCACTCGAGTAATTAACCATATAAAAATGCTCTGGCCTTTCCATTCTCGTCACTTAAGTAATTAACAAGGTCTACCTAAACTTTAAGGTATGTGCCAGTGAGCCTCATTTTTATTTTCACACTAGACCTTCAAATCTATAGGAGTGGCCCTGATATTAGTGAGTAGTCCAATATTCAACAGTAAACTCTTGCATATAAGAATATATTGAATATTTGTAACAGTTAAATCTTGCATAAAATACGTACCGGGATGTAGCATTATAACCTATCAATCCAGGACTATGTCCAAGCTTCAGATATGCATGCAAATGCTAGACCAGTAGAGCGGCTATGCCACAAACTTGTCGATCATAAGTACTTTTTCGTGTGTACATGGCATTCTTTGTTTATATCATTATGCATGTGTACCTGTTCCTGACGAGGATTGGAAGAAAGAGTTGAATATCAGAGTGGCAACGAACGAGACTAACAAAATAATAGGAATATTATTAAACTAACTGAGAATGCAGGAACGGTTACAAAACTCTAAGAGACTGCATTGTGAATAACTTGTTCTAAACTGAATAACAAGCATGTTATTTATAATAAACTAACTCTAACCTAAAAGGTAAGAAACCGAAACCCTAGTGCTAACGGGCTAAGCCCAGAAAACCAAATATTCAAATAAACTAAAATCCTAATATTTTCCAACAGAAAGTAACCTAACACGTTGGAGCAACAGAAGAACTGACCAAGACAGTTGACTTGGGCAATTTCTTAAGAGTGTGATTAATTTTTTTTTTTTTTTAGAAAAGATTAGTTTTTAAAATCTTAAAAAAAAAAATAGTTGTAAAAAATAGGACAATGATTGGGCAATTTCTATTAACGTGGCATATTTTTTATTTTTACTTAATTTATTTAAATTTAAATTTCTAAATAAGACATGTTATGTTTAAATGGTTGTGAAGTTGATGTATAAATAACTAAATGGTGCCTGTAATTACTAAATTGCTCATATTTTTTATTTTTGTTCAGTTTTAGGAGCGAGTTAGAATGGTAAATTTCTTAAAATTTTGGTTGACAAAATAAAGTTCTATTAATAGGTTGTTTAGATAATATTTAAAATAAAGTTTCCAAACTGCAACATCAGAGGGCAAATGCATCTTTTTAATGATGATTATGGAACCAAAACCATTGATTAAAATTAATTAATTACTTAAAGAGTTGGTAGCAAATTCTACTTAATTGGCCCACAACCACAAAGATTATGATTTCAATTTCCCATAATATATCTCAATCATCCTTGCCAACAAAAGTCATATATAGATAACACAAAATTTAACTTTTTCATTATTCAATTCAAGGTTTTAGATTCAAAACTCAAATTTAAACTTTAAAATTTGAGTGGAGGTATGATGTGGTATAAATAATATGATTTTCACAACATTTTCTTACATGTTTCCAAATAAAATTGATGATAAATTGTTTTGTTTATCGACATCATCATTTTTTTTAGACAACGAATAATGAGAAGATGAGATCCAGTCAACTATAATTAGGTAACTCATCATTTCTAAGAGTTGAACATGAGATTTCTAATTAACAACTTAATGGAAAGTATCAGTATACACTAGATAGTAGTGCTTGTGGCAACATTATTAATGGTTAGAAGAACTACACCAATTAAATTTGCTTTCTTTTTACCACTAGAAATAAGATATAATGTTTTTTATTTTTACTTGCAACTTATAAGCGGAAAATTTTGATAGTTAATTATATTTGACCATACAGCACAAAAGTACACGTGGTAAAATATTTTTTGTTTGAAATAATTTATGCGATACGACAGCCGAAAAATAAGAGTGTAACAGTGTCAGAAATAATAATATGTGTCTGCATAACTGGCCATGTGGTCATGGGACCTGTAAAATCACAAGGCTATCACCGATTGCACATTTTGTCACATGAGTAAACTGTTTTGTCTTGGAAACCTTAAGCAATGATCGCGGCACTTGTCGTAGTGATTCTCCGAAGAGGGAGCTTGATTTTAGGCTCTGCAGCAAGGACGGAGCTACCATGGGCCTAGGGGGGCGGATGCCTCCACTGAGATTTTTCTGACGCTGGGATGCTGCTCAAATTGAGCTGGGTTTGCAGTAGCAGAGCCCCCACTGAACTGATCTGATTCTGCTCTCCGACCTGGTTCTGCAGAAGTTCTGGCTTTGTTGTTTGAGGATGCCCCCATTCACACAAAGTTCTGGCTTCGTCCCTGCTCTGCAGTCACAATTATGAACTATGAAGCTCCAATTACACCATGCGATGATATTCACTATATGTTATACGTGTGTATCCCAAATATCCAAATCTCCAGAACAGGCAGGAAATTGTACCAAATTGCAAGCGTATTAATATAATGGTTGCGCGTGTGACACATGCATAAATTGAAATGAATTGCTAATAACCTTGGAGCTAAAAGATGGAGCCAAAAGTGAAGTGGAATGCTGGTGACTCACAACGCCGGCAGCCGGCAGGAACGCCCTGGCGGATGAGCAGCAAGCTATGGTGGCCTCCATGCTTTTAGAAAATACTACTCCAGAGATTGATATTCTGATGAACAATTTTCAGTACTGACTTGTTGCGGGGTTACTAGATAGGGCCGGAAATGGCGTTTCACCACGTGAAGGGTGATGATTAGATATGCTGACAAAGTATTGCGTTTCATGAAGTTAACTAGGGATGGGGATTGGCTTTCAATCTCAAATTTGTGGCTCTGCTATCTGCACTGCTCCTCCCAAGAGATATGGTAACCGACTGTTTGTAAGTTTGTGCGTGCCCAACTGCGTTTGTTCTGCTTACGTATTATTCCCATTTCGTTTCTTAGTGTTCGTAGTACCTTTAGACCTCGTTTGGCATAGAGGATTGATTAGAAGGTTAACTCTTTAAATTGAAGGTATTTTAAAAGTAGAGAGGAGAAGAATTTTTCAATTTAGGGGTTAGACATGAAAAAAACTTTTCCCTTTAACTCCACTTTTTTTTTAGTACATCGATATATTTTTATACAAAAGGAATGAGGAGTTCGGTTAAGTTACACAATGGGCAACCTAATTTTGTATCATCCACGATATTCGAACCTAAGATCTTTCACTTCCACGTGAAGAGGAATACTACCAAATCATAATACTAAGCGACCCTTTCAACTCCACTTAACAACGCCATAGTGAAACTAATTTCCAAAAAACAGTTAATCAGAGTAGCTAACTTTAGGTGATCACATAATTGTAATCACTCAAGTAATTAACCATATAAAAATGCTCTTGCCTTTCCTATCTCGTCACTTAAGTAATTAACAAGGTCTACCTAAACTTTAAGGTAAGCGCTAGTGGGCTCATTTTTATTTTCGCACTAGACCTCCAAATCTATTAGACCAACCCTGATATTAGTGAGTGGTCCAATATTCAACGGTAAAATCTTACATATAAGATTATATCGAATATTTGTAACAGTTAAATCTTGCATAAAATACATACAGGGATGTAGCATTATAACCTATCAAGCCAGGACTATGTCCAAGCTTCAGGTATGCATGCAAATGCTAGACCAGTAGAGCGGCTATGCCACAAACTTGTCGATCATAAGTACTTTTTCGTATGTACATGGCATGCTCTGTTTATATCATTATGCATGTACATGTTCCTGACGAGGATTGGAAGAAAGTAACCGAGGGAAGAAAATTAACCAATTACACTAATATGTTGGAGCAACAGAAGAACTGACCAAGACGGTTGACTTGGCCGCGAAGTAATAGAAGTGTTTTTATTAAGAGTGTGATTAATTTTTATTTTTTGTTAGAAAAGATTAGTTTTTTAAATCTTTAAAAAAAAAACAGTTGTAAAAAATAGGACAATGATTGGGCAATTTCTATTAACGTGGCATATTTCTTATTTTTACTTAATTTATTTAAATTTCTAAATAAGACATGTTATGTTTAAATGGTTGTGAAGTTGATGTATAAATAACTAAATGGTGCCTGTAATTACCCCATATTTTTTATTTTTGTTCAGTTTTAGGAGCGAGTTAGAATGGTAAATTTCTTAAAATTTTGGTTGACAAAATAAAGTTCTATTAATAGGTAGTTTAGATAATATTTAAAATAAAGTTTCCAAACTGCAATATCAGAGGGCAAATGCATCTTTTTAATGATGATTATGGAACCAAAACCATTGATTAAAATTAATTAATTACTTAAAGAGTTGGTAGCAAATTCTACTTAATTGGCCCACAACCACAAAAGATTATGATTTCAATTTCCCATAATATATCTCAATCATCCTTGCCAACAAAAGTCATATATAGATAACACAAAATTTAACTTTTTCATTATTCAATTCAAGGTTTTAGACTCAAAACTCAAATTTAAACTTTAAAATTTGAGTGGAGGTATGATGTGGTATAAATAATATGATTTTCACAACATTTTCTTACATGTTTCCAAATAAAATTGACGATAAATAGTTTTGTTTATCGACATCATCATTTTTTTCAGACAACGAATAATGAGAAGATGAGATCCGGCCAACTATAATTAGGTAACTCATCATTTCTAAGAGTTGAACATGAAATTTCTAATTAACAACTTAATGGAAAGTATCGGTATACACTAGATAGTAGTGCTTGTGGCAACATTATTAATGGTTAGAAGAACTACACCAATTAAATTTGCTTTCTTTTTACCACTAGAAATAAAATCTAATGTTATTTTTCTTCACTTGCAACTTGTAAATAAAAAATTTTGATAGTTAATTATATTTGACCTTACAGCACAAAAGTGCACGTAGTAAAGTGTTTTTTGTTTGAAATAATTCATACGACAGTTGAAAAAGAAGAGTTTGTAACAGTGTCAGAGATAATAATATGTGTCTGCATAACTGGCCATGTGGTCGTGGGACCTGTAAAATCACGATCAGGAATCATGATGATTGCTACTCTGTAGAACGGAAACTTCTGTATGTCTCTCTCCCCTACGAGAACACAAGAGAACCAGAGGGCTCCATAATCCCACTGCCACTGCCTTGTTTCACACAAACTCTCCAATCCATCTTTCCAGATTTCCATATCTCCAACCCAATGTATCTCTCACTCTCAGGTACTCTCTCTCTCTCTCTCTCCCTCCCCCCTGTAGCTTCGGTTATTAAATTAAATATCATCTGATTTACTTTTAATGATCTGATTAGCCATTATGCAATCACATGGATTTAACCCAATTCATGATTTTTTATGTATATTCTTTATTGTAGTGTTCATGAAATTGGTGTTTTTTTTAATTGGGTTTGGTTTAAACTGGATATAGTTCTTAATTGATCGGTGGATTTTAGAATATGATGAGATTCAACTGAACAATGGACAAGCTGCAGGCTTTAAAAGGGTGCATCTGAAATTTGAAGTATTTAGATTCAGAAAATGAGGTTTCTCTTGTAAATTTAGCGTTTTTCGGGGTGTTTTAGCCGAATACTGTGATAGTTCAGCTGTTGCCATGATGTTTGATGTAACTTTTGTAAATTGCAGGTGACCCTTCTAGGAACAGGAAGGGACCTGGATTTGTTTTGCAGATTAATTGAGCTAGTCATTGGTCTTGGATCTTAAATGTCTGCCTATGGCCGTCATATGGAGCGGGAGTACTCCCCGGAGAGTCTCTCGAGCGAAGGTTCTGGTACGTGATGACATTATGCAAATAGTAGGAAGCATTTCTGCTCGTAAGCATTTTTTCTAGAAGTGCTTTTGTTAGAAGCATGTCAAAAGATTTATTAAAAATCCAAGATCTTGACAGTGTTGTGGTACACCAGTGAAATTTTATACCTTTGGGCCTCGTTTGGTGTCTAAGATCGCTAGATTTAGTGTATGTTGGAGGAAGAAACATATGACATATGAGTTATTCAATTCAACCCTAGGCACCAAACGAGCCCCGACACCTTGGTTCATGTAATCAGAAGTATGCTGACCTTAATTAATTAACTATTGATATTCTACCATTCCATGATCACAGAAAGGGCAAGCAGTTATGCCATGGAGACAGGATTCTACATGTCGTCTTTTGCTACGACAATCTTCATTGGCGCACTTATAACTGTTGGGCTCTTATTAATCGCCTTGCTGATTGCACTGACTGTAATGCTGCAGTCTTGCGAAAATAGGAGTCATGGAATCGTTGAGACTCATAACCCGAGTTTCGATTACAATCACTGCCAGATCTTGTCTTTGCATATGGAACTTAACGGTGAAGCAGATCGCTTCCCTTCAATGTGCAGGGTTGTTGCCCTTCAGTACATCAAAGAAGGTCAATATGTAAGAGATTTAAATTCTACCATGTCAATGATTCAGAATTATTTCAGCAGCATTACCCCAGCACACGATGGTCTGGACGTGGTCTTGATCGACATAGATGACATTCGTTCTTCAAATCCTCGGCACATTAATTTGCCACTGCCCCAGTAATTTAATCTCCTTTTAGTCCTTTAAGCATTCGTTCTTGCATAGTTCTGGCTTTCATGTTATCCTGTTTCCTTATGCACAGATATGATCAGTATGGTTGTGGTGATTGTGTGGAAGAGGCAAAGCATCTGAAGCACAGGTTTATTCTGAGATTATACATGGAGCTTCATGCTAGCGGTTGGCCCTTGATTCTGCTATCAAGAAAGCCGGAGGCGGAGCGGAATTCCTCCATAGAGGATCTTATATCTGCAGGGTTTAGAGCTTGGTCTACATTGACAATGAGGTATTTGTTACCATGCATATCCCGCTTTCTTTCTAAAGTCTTTTAGGTAAAATTAGTTGGATGTTTCCGAGTTCCGATTCGCTGTTCTGTTTTCGGCAGATCGGAAGATGAATTGCATATGGAGAGCCGTGACTACTTCTCGAAACGAAGGGATGCAATGCAGAGAGAAGGCTTCCGCATACTAGCTTCCATTAGCAGTCACATGGATGCTCTAAGAGGTCCGTTTTCAGGAGAGCGGATTTTCAAGCTTCCAAACCCAATTTATTACAATTTTTCAACATCGAATTGAGGACATAAGTGTAGACGCAGGCGTTACCACATTGGCTAGAGCAGGTGCGCTCTCCCTTATAGACCGAAATAGATTTTTTCTTCCATGTCCGTATAGTTTTTTCAGCAGATTTTTTTTACCCGAAATCAGTGCAGCCATGTAAATAGCATCAGTTCTTCTTTGAGTTTTCTGCTGTAAAGAAATTTCGGTATCATTAGTGGTATAATTATTGGTAATCATTCTTCATCTGTTGCTTAAGTTTGCCTAAATATGTGCACTTAATCGAGTGACAGGCAAAAACAAGATAATGATGATAAGATCAAAGAACAAGAGAATTCCAAGAGACCAGAAGCATCCTAAAACAATGGCGGACCGACGGATTGCAGCCGCCGCAACCAAGCAATCCTTACACTAGGCCTTTTCAGTAGAAGAAATATTTCCCTGTATTCCTTTTTCAGGAATACATCTAATGCAAACAAATAGAGATCACTTCCTTGTTCTACTTCCTCCATGGCATCAAGACAGTTGATGCACTCCCCAATGCTATAAGTGGGCTTGCCTTGTGCAAAAGCAACTGTTACGGCATCAAGTTGCTCAACGTTGTTCTCCTCTTGATTCGCTATGCCTCCGTCTTCTATATGCAAAACGGATGTACTCAAGTTATCGTTGTACTTCCTCCGCCTGGCAGGAGGCTCTGTCTCTCCGGTATCTGTTGTTCCGTCAAATATGGCTTCCAGTTTGTCAGCATTGAGGTTCCTTAAAGCGGAATGAAGCAGCTTCGGGGTCGGTCTGTGATAAAACAAAAACCACTATGCTTTAACAACCCGAAATCATTCATAATCTTCCTAGTTTACACACATCTATGTAGAAATAGTTACCGGCAGTTGTATATCATACCATACCTCTAAGTAATTGGCCCAATCTTCATCACTTGCTCCAAACCGTCTGGTGTTCGGATTCCAAGCCATACTAGTTGTGCCAATTAGCTTACACCATATTCTCCATTGTTCCTTGGTGACATCCCAGTGATTCTTCAACTGCAACCTGTCGTACATAAGGCCAGTTTTTTGGTGAAATGATTCGACGAGAGTCCTCCAAGCGTCCCTGGTAAAATGTGTCCCGGGTTTGTTCCCTTTCAATGTCTCTTCAAGACATAGATCGATAAATACACCGTGGGATACAGGCGACCAAACCGCCTTTGCCTTTGAATGGGATGAGCTAGATATGCTTTGCTCACTTGCAGTTGTTAGACGGTGTTCGGACTGAGCCACGTAACTCCTTAATGGAATCGCGTTTGAAAGATGCTCCTCTCCCAGCTCCACAGTCACCAAATCTTGTTCTTCCGAGTGCAGAAGGGAGTTGTCCGAGCTAGTGCTTTGCCTCCACTGAGAATCACAAGGCTCCATGTCCCCAGAATCCGTAGTGCCAACAAAAAGGATTTCCAAAAGGTCAGGGCACGGGATTTCTTTATGCTGAAACTGTGCAGCTTCGGGGTTCACCTGAGACAAAGCCCTCGCAGTTACAAACTGAATTCACGAAAAACCTCTATAGCATCGCTCTTCGAATGCACAACATTAGCTGCTGTGAGTAAACTAGCATTACCTGTATGTAGTAAGCCCATTCTTCTGCACTAGCACCGAATTGATTGGTCGTAGGATCCCACTTCATATCACTCTCAGCAATGAGCTTAACCCAAACTTTCCATTGCTTCTTGGTGAAATCCCAATGGTTCTTCATTTGCTTCTTAGTGTACCTTAAACCCGTCTGCTCGTAGAACCCTTGGATGAGGTTCCTCCAACCCTCCTTGGTAAAGTGTGTACCGGGCTTATTCCCTTTGTCCACCTCTTCCAGACAAAGATCAAAGAATATTTTCCGGTGCCCCGGAGTCCAGGTGGCTTTTGATCTTGATGAGCTATACATCCCTTATCAATTCCAATTTCTCTGCCATTTTTCATAGGCATCAACATGATACCCATTATCTCAAAACAACATAATTTACAGTTGATTTTGGTGATAACTTCAATGAGTATTAAGGATTCAGAGGGAAAATGTATGCCCATTAAATTCATAATTAAAGTTTCTAACTTTATATTGTGCAGCTAAATACACAAAACAAAAGCAAAAAAACAATAATAATAAGCAGAAATCAAAAAAATGAAATACTGGAAATGCAATTGAAATTGCTGCAAATAAATAAATACCCATTTGATGCAATTACAGTGTTTAGACAGGAAGCGTAAGTTTAAAACAATATCTATATATCTATATGTCTATACACTACACACCCACCCTCACAAAATTCGCATTTGAAACGATCTCCGAGAATCTGCAATGGTTTGCATGCCAACAAAATATTAAAAAATCGAAACGAAATTGAAACAGGGGAGATAAGTTCATACCTGGGACTTAAAGAGGGGCCGGAATTCCTGCTTAAAGAAGAAGACGACGACGACGAAAAAGCAGAAGCTCTCCCCCTCTCTCTCCCTCTCACTCCCTCGAGTGTTTCTGAAACGTGAAATCGACGGCGCACAATAATTTATTTTGCTCTCTTGGGTTTCGTAACATCAATTCTCATAGTCAGCCCACTATGCCCATTCTTTTTCAGGCCCCTCTTTTCGAAATCGGCCATCTCCTTTTTGGATTTTTGGGGAATTTGCTCATCTTTAAATTTTTGGGGGGTGAAAATAGGTTGGATTTTTTGTCCTGCTAAAATGGAAGAGGCTGAAATGTTTCTCGAAGTTTTTTTAGCCTTTAAAAGGGTTGACTGTTAGAATGATTAATTGTCATAGTGAAACCACCCGCTATCTATTTTGTTTGGGAAATTTTATTCAGACCTATTTATCCTTTTTCTGCACCCAACTTATAGTTTTTAACCTTGAAATTCCAAATCTGCCCAACAATTTTCTTCCTTCACCCATAATGAAAAAGAACAAAAATATAAAATATAAAATTCCAACACTAAAAAACTCTGGCCATGCCATCACTCCAAACCGGCCCTAACCACCCCCCAATTTCTACCCCTCCCCAACCTCCCACCGCTATCTTCTTATCACCCACAATAAACCCCCTAAAGATCTCAGCCATCAATGTCCCTTTCCCGACCTTTCGCCGGCCACACAATAACTCTCTCTTCCATGCAGTCTTTCTAACATGTCCGAATTATGCCAAAATTGTCGACATGTCGAATTGTGTTGGACCATATGTTAATAATACCATTAATATTTCCAAATAAAAAAAAATATTGACATGTTTCTTTTGGGTTTTTTAATCGTGGGTTGACTTGGGAATAATGTTCTAATTTCTAAATTGTTGTGGGTGGTAAGGGAGGTGGCGGTGGGGAGTTGGGGAGGTTAAAAACTGGGTAGTTGAGGTTTGAAGAGATAGGGTGGCTAGAGTTGCTTATTGCTAAATTATTATTATTTTCTTTTTGTTCTTGTTCTTGTTGGGTGTAGAAAAAGAATTATTGGGCACATTTGGAATTTCAAGATAAAAAATAATAAGTTGGGTGTAGAAAAAAGATAAGAGTAAACTGTCGGTTTACCCCCTGAACTTTCACCTCACTTTCGATTTCCCCCCTGAACTTTTCCATTGGAAAATTAAGGACTCAAACTAATTTTTTTAGCCAATTTACCCCCTACCGTTAGTTTTTCATATATTACATCCATATTTCCGTTAAGTGAGACCATGTGCACAACATGTGAGGGTAGTTAAGTTATTTCACTCTTAAATGATTAAAAAACTAAAAATAATAAAAAAAGCAAAACTTTCCCTCTATTTTTTCCCGCTAATTCCTATCCTCGATTTTATTTTTCCCTCTCATTCCTATGCATGAGAAATGACATATGGTGTTATTGTCTACCATTTTTATTTTCTCTAACAAATTAATAATTTGACAAATGCTAATGGTGCTATTGTCTCCAAAGCAGTGCATTAATATAAGAAACCCTAGTCTTTTTTATGGACATGTTTCTTATATTAATGCACTGCTTTGGAGACAATAACACCATAAGCATTTGTCAAATTATTAATTTGTTAGAGAAAATAAAAATGGTAGTACATGCTTAAAAAAAAAGATTAACTTAGCTACTTATGAAGACAATAACACCATATGTTATTTCTCATGCATAGGAATGAGAGGGAAAATTAAAATTGAGGATAGGAATTAGCGGGAAAAAATAGACGGAAAATTATTATTATTATTTATTTTCAGTTTTTAATCATTTTTAAATTGAAATGACTTAACTATCCTCACATGTTATGCACATGGTCTCACTTAACGGAAATATGGATGGAATATATGAAAAACTAACGGTAGGGGGCAAATTGGCTAAAAAAATTAGTTTGAGTCCTTAATTTTCCAATAGAAAAGTTCAGGGGGGAAATCGAAAGTGAGGTGAAAGTTCAGGGGGTAAACCGACAGTTTACCCAAAAGATAAATGGGTCTAAATAAAATTTCCCTTTTTTTTTTTGACAAATGATAGAGACTTTACAATAAGGGGTGGGCAAGTGGGCTACATCTTATATTGCCATAATAATGTGGTTCAACTTCACTGTTGACGATAATCAAACCTAAGATCTCTCTACAAGTGAAGAAGAATACCAGGAATAGAATGAGATATTGTACTATTGTGTTTTCATATTGTTTTGCATGTTAGTTCACAAGAGTGCTGATTTTTCAAATTTTTTTTCACCTTGCATGTCTCTCTTTATTTTTTACCATCAAATTAAATAAATTAACCGAAAATAACAATCATGATTAAATAAGGGGGTGCATAAAGGGAAAATGGTGTGTGTTTATCATTTGTCAATCCGCAAGTGTGTTTACATGAACACACTCGCATGTAAATGGATAAACCCAAACACGACCCCTGCGACCCCTAATAGGGAGTTACAATGATACATTACAAATACCAATACCATTTTTGTGTGTACCAAATTTAGTATGATAGTTTCATCATATTATAGTTGTTGCATAATTGTATTTTACTGTTACATTTCATGATTGTGTGATGATCATTTCGAATACTTTTTCTTTTTTAATTACCTACATTGGTCTTACTAATCAATCACTCACCACAATACCACTAAAATTTAACCTTCCATTTTCTGCCAAACTAAACTAATTAGGGTCTTACTAGCTCAAAACTTAACCCTACTAGCATGAGAAAATTGATTTAGGAGTTCACAATGCTTCCTACCACTTCTATACCATATTGGGGCAGTAAAAATGTATGCTTCCACTACTTCTACTTCCAAATTGGGAAGTAAAATTGTAAACTTTACAGGATTAAATCTGCAGAACTTAATACTCCCAAATACCCAATCCAATTCAATCTGCAGAAACTAATTCCATCTGCAGAATTCAATCACTGCACAAGAAACTAAAGCACAAACTTGCAACATCCCAGTACGAATTGTCGATTAAACTTTGCAGCCAAGCAAGATGGTAACTTTCAACATTGAGCTTAAATTAAGACCATCCAAACATCCAAGTAAGTGAAATTAAGAATATTAGTAAAAAAAAGTAAGCTCTAAACCATGCATTTTCTCAGCAAAAATATCCACTAAAACCTGCTTAGCACAAGATGAACTAGTAGTTCAATTGTCTTTCATCACAAACACTATTTCCTACACAAAATACCCTACTCACAGAGTACACTAAACAGTAATTCCTTTGAGCAGCAACCCCAAACTGAACAAATTGTAGCCCCAAACACCATCTCCATGAATCAAAATTACTAACCAAGTAATTAGCAGCAGTTTCTTCATAAACCCAATTGATAAATGAGCCCCAACTTGCAGGTTGCCACCTCCATGAATCGAAAACTGTGCTAATCACCTACTAATCAAAGCAACTAATTGAACCCAATTCACAGTCCACTCTACTGATCAAAGATCTCTAAGAACCCTCCAAGAATCAACAAATCGAGCTACCCAGTAATGAAATTAAGCAACTGAGTCGGAAAAGCAACATTACCAGGCAAGTAATGCAAACACCAAGAATTGCCCAACCGCCATGATCAAGATATCAAAGAGTCCTCCGCAATCGGACCCAGAATACTGAATCTCCTTATACTTGCTGGTCAAATTTGGGTAAAGAATCCCCCAATTGCGCCCCTGCCTCACTTGCTTATCGAGCAGCTCGTAAATGTACGTCTCCGCAACCCCTTCTCTTCTCAGCGGCGTTCCCTTTCCGGACCTCAGATGAAACAGAAGCCCCTTGATGTACATCTCGGCGTAAACCGGGTTGGCGTCGATTTCGGCCGGGTCGGTGCTGTAGCTGGGCCACCCAGTCTCGGTCACGATCACCGGAATGTTCTCGTATCCTGCGACCGCCATGGCGCTGATGACGGCGTCGACCATCATGTCGAAGAGGTTCCGGTACCGGACGCCGGTGGTGAGGTCGTCTCGGAATCCGAATGGGTGCTCCTGAAATAGGGGGAACCCAATCGGGATCTCACTGCGCATCTTGTAGAGGTTGTAGGGGTAGAGGTTGATCAAGAACGACGAATTGGTGTCGCGGAGGAACTGGAGGAGGGGTCTGATGACGGTGTCGACGGCCGGTTCTTGGAACTGGGCGTTGGAAGGCGGGAACGCCGTGGTGATGACGTTTATGAAAGAGAAGGTGGTGGAGACGGAGATCCTGTGGATGCCGAGATCTTGGAGGGAGAGGCGGAGGTTGCGGATGGCGGGAAGGAGGAAGGTGAAGAAGTCTGGGGAGGACTCGAGGAGGTCGTTGCCGACGGAGATGGTGCCAATGTTGGTGCGGGGGTAGAAGGGGATGACGTGGATGTAGAGCCAGCGGAGGGCGTTGGAGCGGTTGGCGGCGAGCGGCGGGACGAGCTGGTTGGGGATGGTGAGGAGGAGGGAGGTGTTGGAGTAGAGGAAGGCGCGGATCATGGCTGGGTCGGAGGCGTCGAGTCGGAGCGCGGAGAGGCCGAGTGAGGAAACGGCGCGGGCCACGCAGTCGGGCGCGGGAGGGGTGCCGTAAGTGGCGACAGTGCTTGCGGAGTAGGTGGCTCCAACGGTGGTGGGAAGAGAGGTGCTCCCGGGAAGGAGAGAGAGGATGAAGAGGATGGCGACGAGGGAGACCAAGAAGTCCGCCGCCATGGTTTCTTGGAGCTTTCTGGAATTAGGAGGGAGTTTTCTGGGGGTTTGAAATCAAGAGAGAGAGGAAGGCGTGGTTGTTAGTTTGTTAAAGCTGTTCGAGCAGAGGAGGTTTGGCGCGGGAAATGGGATTTAAGGGGGGTGCGTAGTGCGCACGGGGTGTTGTTTAGCTGAGAAAAGGCTGTTAGTCAGTGTCGTACGCCACGTGATTTGCGAAGGTGAACACTGGGCTTGCTTCCGAATCTCGGCCCAAGCCCAGTATCAATATGCGTTCACGCTCTCTTGAGCTTACATAATATCGTTATGAGCTATAGCGTGGAATTAGCATTGTTTCTTTACTGCATTTAACGTGAGTATATGGTAGCATCATCGGTCGGAGCCCGGAAGACGATTAATATGGCGGAAATTCCGGTATCTGAGTTCAAAAGAGAATGATTCGTACTCGACCGGGGAATAAAATAAACTGTATCGGCATATCCTACCCGGCACATACGATCAGCATGGCCAAAATCACGGCCAAACCATATTTAAATAACTACCAGATTATACTGGGAAGAAATGTTACATGTAATCAAGAGTCATATTTACATTTGCATGTAAACTGCTTCGCGAAACTAAACTCTTTCCACATACGGTAATTGGACAACCTGCATTACAAACACCAAGGATTATAAACATGAGAACTTTCTCGGTTTAATCCTCTAGACAGGAATTTAGATGAACAGCTGACAGAATAGCAGAACAGGAAACCGCTGATACTTGAACTGGCTACATTATTTTCAAGTCACTGACTACCAAATATGGATTAAGTAGCCTACAAGGCATGGCTACATTATTGCATATATGCTGCATGATGGTTAATTTACCGTTGCTTTTCGTTCACCTAAACTGGCACCGAAACTGGGACCAATGGTCGCTAAGTTTGGATCATCTCTGTGCTTTCCCCAGGCTGCTTCGAACTGCACTCCTTTGCATCTGGGAATTACAGGAACGGGGTTAGAATGAACAAACAATAATAAAGGAGGAGGTTCATACAATTGCCATAGAAATATGAGGAGAAGGAATAATCCTTACTGGTGGAGCAGGATCAGTATCCGAATAACAACATCTCTAATTCCTTCACGGGACCTTTTCAATGCTGCTTCTTTGTACAAAACAGCAAGTTCGTCCACCAACCTGAAACCAAGCAATGACGTAATAATACAAAATAAAGGATTCCTCCTATAAAAAACTCAGAAGACGAAATGGGTGCGGGTGCAATCTGGAAGTGGAGTAGGTCCTGAAGCAAAGGTTTGACATGCTGAAAATATAAGTCAATAAAACACCGAAGTTGCATACAAATTCAATCAAGTTACCTTTCCACATACTGTGTGTTCCTAACCCATGTTAACTTTATAACTGTTTCAATCTGTTTGAGAACCTGCAAAAAGCAAAAGCAAAATAATTTCAAAACTATGGTAGAAATTTTTGATGTTGACATAACAATTCATAGCCTACGCATGAGGAAACGATCATCTGGAGATGCCATGTCTCCAGAACTTGTGGTAGTGTAGATTAAGTATTGAGCATGCTACCTAGCCTAGGCGCTAAAATCTGATTTATTAACCAACGATAGCATGAAACCATATCTCACTACACACACACACACATACAAGAGGATATCACTCGAGTGGGAAGATAATCTCACCAGTAAAACAGTCTCGTCATCATCAGCATGCATCCACTTAAAGAAAAGAGGGAAAATGCGCCTGAAATGAGCTAGTAACACCAGACCCACACCATTAAAAAGTGGCTCTATATGACGAAGCCATGCAACACGGCGTTCCTTGTTCCTAGATTGGCGCTCCAGGTGACTTAACATCTCATTTAGCATCTTATCAAACCTATGGAATATATCAGGAAGGGTATTAAGAATGTGACAAAATATGCAACCAGTGTATTATGTAGATGTTGCTGTCCATCAGTAAAAGTTTTAACTACAAACCTCCATATCGTTCCTTCAATTTTAAAACAACATCCACAGAAAGTAAAAAGCGTAATGAACATAAAGCACAGAGACAACAAGAATACCATGGACTACGAGGATTACTTTGCTGGGTACAAGTCACAATAAGCACCGACATCTCGACCACAAGTTCCCATATTTCATCACTAGAAGCAATATTCTGGCAGCATGCATCAAGGATCACATCTTGAAACCAACCAAGTTCGGCAGCATTCACGTTTTTCGCAATATGTATGAAGCTAATCATGCCCTGCCCCTGAAACAAAGCATGGAGGATGAGCATCATCCGTCTACCTTAGGGATGGTTTGGGAGTGAGGTGCTTAAAAAAAAGCACCCATGAAAAAAAGTTATGAAGGTTTTAGGTGTTTGGTAAACTGAAAAAAAAAAGGTTTATTTTGGAAGCTGATGTGAGAATAAGCTGAAATCAAAGGAAAAAGCTGAAGCTGCTATTTGCAGCTTTGGAAAACTGGCTTTTTTTCAAAGCACATGGAGCTACAATGCTCCTTTAATGAAAAGACCCTATCAGACTTTTTTTTTTCCAAAAGCACTTGTACAAAAAAGTTTACCAAATACTATGCTGATTTATTTCACAGACGCTTATTTTCACAGCTCAGCCGCTTATTCTCACAGCAGCTTTTTTTCAAAGCATAGCAATACCAAACCAGCCCTTAACACAATACATTTGCTACATTACACAGAAAGTGATTCATCGCAGTTCAAACCCAACAAAACCGGAAGCTGAACAACTATAAAAAAACATACTTTGATCTCCGCGGACCAGTGATCGAGAGCCGTCAATGCACAAGGAATAACCAAATTAGACAACTTCCCCAAATGAGGATAATCAATCTACAAAACAACAACACACAGATCATATCATTAACAATAACTAACAAGCCACCAAATTTTAATTCAACATCTCAAAAAGAACAGATACATACATATATATATACACACACGTATGAGCTCACACCTGTGTAACAAACCACCTAAACTGATAAGCAGCCACAATGGCAAACCCAACCGGAACCCTGGCCGATGCAGCCGAGAACTCATCGCAATCCTCCGATTTATCGATGGAGCTCTCTTTAATTCTGCTCTTCAACAAGGGAAGAACCTCAGGCGTCAATTCTATCACCAACTTCTTCTCCTCAGGAACCGAACCGCAATTCAAACCCAATTCAGCAATCGTCTTACTGTTCTTTTCGCTGTAAGCCATTAAATAAGCTTCCGAAAGCTTGCGAAAGGCCGAGTCCGCAGCGGCTGAGAGGTCCTTGGGGATCCATGAGAGGAGGTCGTGGGCCGAGGACTGAGAGGCAGAGAGTACGGCGCAGGCGAGAGCGAAGTCCCTGATTGAGGTGTGGAGCTGAGCACCGTCGATGTTAGGGCTTCGTGGCGGTTGCTTGCGAGGGAGGAGAGCTTCCAGTAAGGTTTTCGAGGAGACGCCGCCGTCTTCCGGCGGAGTGTCCGGCGCTTTGCTCAGAGATTTGGAGATTGATTCCGATAATCTAAAAAAATTACAAGAAATTAGAGAAAAATAATATAAAAAAATAGGAGAAGGAGAGAGCTATGGAACTTACTGGATGAGTAGCTCGTAGAGTGTTGAGAACGATTCCGACATTTCTGACTCGGTCTGACTCGGTCCGCCTGCCGTCTGAGCTCTCAACTCGCCGTGCTCTCGCTTCTGTTTTATGAACTATGGGGGGACAGGGGGGTGTTTGACGTCGTTTTGGGGGTTGTTCCGGAAACGGCATGGCGTTGACAAGCCACCTTCGAAACGCAGCGTACCGGACCGAATTATGGTTATCATGGTTTGAGGTAATTAAAGGTCATCATTTTGGTGAGTCCTATGTTCATCATGCAGTTCAAGCGCGTGCCGTCTCCATCACCAGGCGTATCCGACTCATTAAAGGTCATCATTTTTTACACTGAGATTTCACAATGTATCAAATTAGGATCAATGGTCGTGTGATTAGCATTTTGTAAGGTTATAATAATGTGTAATGTGTACTGAATAAATTTAGTAAATGAGAAGTATCATCCAATTTCACTTAAAATCTAGAACGCTAGCTATTTTATTTGAATCACTATCCTAAAGTTAGGGCTACGCATTTTAGTGGGTTTATCGATAAGCCTGACCAACCCAACCAAAATTAGTTGGGTTTGTAAACTTTATTTCAAGTAAAAACCTGATTGCTCATTTAATAGATGGGCTGGGTTAGGTTGAAGTATTATTAACTTTATTGAAATCGACTCACCTAAATATCAACATTTTTTAAACATACATTATATAGACATATACATAAAATTCTAATAGTTATTAGACACACTTGTTTATTTATACTTTAGTTAAAAAATGAAATTCCAATATTAACAAATAGGGATTCTACAACACCAAATTAACATAATTTAAGCCTAATATAATATGTATTTTAGATTATTTGTCACTGACACTCACTTTAGGAATAAGAAAGAAAGTAAATAATCTCAACCCATAGAACCCATCCAACCCAACCGACCCTCCTTAGAATGATATGAGTGAGTTGGTTTGCCTATTTCATTGAGTTAAAATGAGTTTTAATAATGTCAACCCGAACCTATTGAGTTAGCCAATGAATTGAAGAGAGTAAATGTTCTTATATAAGGGATATTGATCAAGGGCCAAATAATTTTTTGTAATACAAGCAATATTTATCTCGAGTCTTGTTACCACCAGACGTTGAATATAAAATTAAATGTTCAAAATCACTGGAGCTACAAATTAATTTAACTCTGAATAAACATAAGCAACTCTTACCAGAGGCAAAGTACCTTGAGCCTAGTGTGAGTTCACGTAATTGGATAATATTAAAATCCTAGCAATAGATAAAGCATAGAAAAATCGTTACCTTTGACACCCAAAAAATGCTGTAAGTCTGTTTTATTTTATTTGTTGGTAACCAATTTGTCTTCTGCTAGTCCAGCCATTTTTTCCTCACAAATTTGTAGGTTTGTTTATCTTCTGTTTTGGTTGGGAACAAAATTAAATATAAATAAATTAAAAAAAAAACATCCACTTAATCACAAAATCACAATAATTATTACCATATTTCCAAACGAATTTTAAATTTAGAAATGTAGACAGCAGCTAATGATTTGGTGCAACCACAACCTTCGATTATAGGATTTGGATCCTCTCTTGAGCAGGGATCCGAATCCTTCTTACCCAATAACACTGACCGTTGGATTTTGATCAAATTACTACAATTATTACAACTTTTAGAGAAGTTCTTTGTTTGTAGTCATTTGATCAAAATTCACCCGTTCGTGTTATTGGGTCATGAGGATTTGGACCATTGCTCAGGAAATGATGCAAATCCTCGATTATATGCATTTAATTTGATAAAACAAATAGTATGCATTTAATTATCCTCTAATTACTTAAAAATAAAAAGGACTAGCCTTTTAAGAAGTGTTTTTATAAAGAAATCCAAGTATTTCCCAATGATCCAAGTGGTTCATAAAAAAAAAAGCACTTCTACGACGCAAAAGTTCTTGCCATATGTAATTGGAAGTGCTTTTAGTTATTGTAAACCACTTTGTTGTTGCAACTTAGGGCGAGAAAAGCCGCGTAAAATCGAGCCGTTGGACGATACAAGGTGGAACCAAATTGTTTCCAGCGCGGATATTTTTATTCCTTTTTATTTATATTTTATAACGCCTTTAAAATCTCTCTCATCGGATTCGGAGGGGTCTCTCTCACGCTCTAATCTCGACAATTTCGTCGTCGTCGTCTTCCTGCACTACGCTGCATCCGCTCCCTGCAAAAAGCCTTCGCCATTCACCGTCCGGCATTTCATTCCTTCTGTACGGAAAAGGACCCATTTGCCCTCCTCCCTTTTCTCGCTCTTTCCATTTTTCAAAATCTTTTCTTTTTTATTCTACCCTTTTTATTTGTCGAGATTTTTTAGCTTCACTCAGTCAGCCTTAAAGCTTCAAAGGGTACGCTTTTCTGAATCTGAAGAATGTTTATTGACTTCATTTCATAATCTCTGCTGCCAGATCTCCATTCATTTGTTCTTGCATTTGTGTCCTTTGAAGGTTGGATCAAAGAAAAAATCTTAAGAAAAAATGTGTAATTTTTTTCAATTTAGTTGCTTATGTTCTAAAAGTTTTAGATCGGTTTCTGGGAAAGCTGGAAAAAAGATTTGGGATTGTGGGTCTTCTGTGGATTTGTTGATAAAGTTGCCAAATTCTGTAACTTTACTGTTTTACGTTATCTGGGTCAATGAATCACTGTGCTTTTACATTTCCTTTCTTCTACTTTCTCGGGAGCCAAACAGAAATTTTGATTGCCATTTCCTTTTGTTTAACTGTTCATTACAGGCGGGAGGTTGAGTGGTGGTGATCTTGGTTGAGAGAGAAGAGTCAGATCTAGAAGGAGAAAGAATTATGTCTTTCATTGGCACCCAGCAGAAATGCAAGGCTTGTGAAAAGACAGTTTACCCAGTGGAGGAGCTTTCTGCTGATGGGATTTCCTACCACAAGTCTTGCTTCAAATGCACCCACTGCAAAGGGACTTTGAAGGTACTAAACCAACCTTCAATTCTGCCTCATTTCATGCTTTGTTGTCGATTTTTGGTCATTTTTGTTTGATTCAAAGCAAATTATGAAGATTACTGCTTTATCGATACTTCAGACCAAATTAGATAAGGATTTCTGTTTTCTGTGAGGATTGTTAGTATCATGCCAATGGGTGTAATGACATAGAATATCTAATTTGTAATATTGTCGGCGTGTGAATGCATATGTTTGAAAGAGAACTCGAATAGTGAGATTTGTTCATGCCATTGACCCGAATTCTGTTCAACTAAGATATGTAACTTATGGAGTTGTTTATGGAAGTTTCTTCTTGTTTCTAAGGCTTTTGTGATATATATCTTTACAGCTGAGCAATTATTCCTCAATGGAAGGTGTCCTGTACTGTAAGCCTCACTTTGAGCAACTGTTCAAGGAGACTGGCAATTTCAACAAGAACTTTCAGTCGCGTATGTCTTTCTCTTTTTCCTGGTGAAACCGTTTTTGTTTTTATTGTTACCGTTTTAATCTTCTGTAAATTTAATTTGCAGCAGCTGCAAAGTCAGCTGAGAAGTTAACTCCAGAGCTGGTAAACTTTTCTACATCGCTGTTATAAACTCAGTTTTTGAGTGAACAAAGTACTCTTACTATCGGGTCGTGTTAACACTGATTCTCAAATGTTTGTGTTTGGTTCAGACTAGGTCACCTAGCAAAGCTGCTAGCATGTTTTCTGGAACACAAGACAAATGTGCTACTTGTGGTAAAACAGCTTACCCACTGGAGAAGGTAGGATCCCAAGATATGTCTTTTCTTGATAATTTTTCTTTCGACTATTCTCTTTTCCCCCTTTACCAAAAGAGAATTGGCTGGAACTGGGACTTCGTTGCATTGATATAAGTTGAGCACATGTTCTGTAATTTCCTAATTATAACCAGAGGTGTTCGAGGTTACATGAATTTCACATGACCTCTATAGAAACAAATGAGTTCCTCTGCAATGGTTATTTTAAGAAAATGAACATTTTTCGTATAATGCACAAAGATATGAATCACGGGTATCGCGTGCTTGTTCTTTGGCTAGATGTTCAGTATGTCCTGGAGTAGTATTCCATTTTAGAAGTCAATCTCCAATGCGAAAATTGGACAGTTGTGTAAATCATGTCTGCTCGCATTATAGTCTTTCCAACCTCCATTCACCCCAAATTTGAGAAATAAAAAATAAAAAATCCCACGAAACTAATTCGAGTTTATTGAACCAAAATTTTGCAGGTGACAGTGGAGAGCCAGGCTTACCACAAGTCGTGTTTCAAGTGTTCTCACGGCGGCTGTCCTATTACTCCCTCAAACTACGCTGCCCTGGAGGGCATTTTATACTGCAAGCACCATTTCTCCCAGCTTTTCAAGGAGAAGGGGAGCTACAACCATCTTATTAAGTCTGCATCAATCAAGCGCACAGCAGCTGCAGCAGCAGCGGCAGCAGCAACAGTAGCCTCCATTCCAGAAGCATAAATTCCGTATTTAAATGTTCGATTACATGGCTTTCGTTTGTTTAAGAGTGTTGCATCCCTCTTTAACCTCACGCTTTTCCATGGCGGAGTGAGAAAACTTGGTTCTTCTCTTTTGTATTCGGCTCATCAATCTTGGGCACATTGTTGTGTTTTGCTTCATGTATGTGATTCTGGGTCCGGCAGTTAGTAAAATGACCTTCTTCGGGACTTTGTGTGCAGTAAAGTTCATGTTGTCACCATTTTTATCGGCATTTTGCAAATATATGAAGATTCTATCATCTTCGTCTTATTTTCCCTCCCCAACCCCACAAAAGAAAGAAACTCTTGAGTGTGATGGTCTTATAACTCCGAGAGCTTGTTTAGAAATGCTTTTTCAAAAAGCACTCATGCTGAAAGCAATCGAAGCACATTGAAATTTTTAATAAAAAAATGCAAGTGATTCATAAAAACCACTTTTATTGAAAGCACATAGCAAGTGTGTCTTTCATAAAGCACTTAAAGTGCTTCTTTTAAACCCATAAACACTTTTAACTTTTTTTTTGCGAAACATTATGAGAAGAATTTTTTATTATTTTAAAAGCACTTTCAAAACAAGTCTCGAAAATGGTAATTATACAGTTATACTAATGACTCCAAACAGTTATTATTTGAGGACAGCCAAGTTGATAATAGTCAGTTGAAGCGGTTAGCGCTAGTTTGTTAAAGTTAGTTATAATTGGCGGGAAAGAAAAAATACAGAATA